AGGCTTTAGCCTTGCAAACTGGGAAAAGTTGCATAATGCCAAAAAAAGGCAGAGTGCACCTTCAGAGGAATGTGTTTCCACAAGACCATACATTTGGATGATGGTCTGCATGAGTAACCTAGAGATGGTGGACCAGGAAGGAGACATAGCCTTACAGAGTACAAAATTAAATCAGTCTTCCTGAAGAAGCGGTGGCTGAGAGATAAACTCTCACAGCCTGAACCACATCCAAACAACGTAAAAAAAAGGTTCTTTTGGTGAACTGTAGCCAGACAGAGGGATAGAAGAACAATGTCTTGGTTAAGTTGAAAGGAAAAAAACTACTTTACACAAGGAGGAAACATAGGGGTGATGGCTAAAAGAAACATAACCCTATGGGCAACAGTAGAGAGAGGAATGTGTATAATGGGTTCACTTGGTGATCTTTGAAGGACAAAGAGAACTAGGCTCTGACCCCATGAAGCCACTGGGGAATGAAGGGCAGGAGCTATATGGGAGACTCCCTCTACAAAGATTCAATTTGAGTTAAAAACGGTCTCTGAAACAAGACAGACCTGACAGATACCTGGCTCTTGTAAAAGCTAAGAGCCAAATGCTCGTTCAGACCCAGTTGCAGGAAAGAAAGGATTTGTCCCACACAGAAAGTCCTAGGGTGGAAGCCCCAAGACTCACACTACATGAAGTACTGTATGTCTTCCATTTACATTACTAGCCTTCCTACCTGTTAGTTTTGTAAAAAACCACACACACACAAAAAATGAAAAAAATGCTTAAACAGATATGCCTTAAAAGCCAGTGACCATGAAATAGAATGGAACAAAGGTCCTTGGGACAGAAGATCCTGGGGATCTGACAAACCTGAGGAAGACCCATCTATTCTCATGAGGATATTAGCAAAAAATGAGGTATGATGGTTGTAAGTGGGGTAACTCTGTGCTGGTCAACAGCTTCTTTGTTGCCACTGAAAATGTTATTATCCCTCCATACACCTTTCTGAAGAACTTACAAGATGCTCTGATGTTCTATGCTTAAAGTTTGAAATTTTAATAATATATTTCTCTTTTTAGTTTTACTTCTTTATGGTCTGGTAAATAAACAATTGAAAGCATTTTGTTATATTTGCTAAACATAGCAAAACTGCAAAAAAAAAAAATTCTGTAGCTGTTCATCCAGCTGATAACTTCCTGTGCTCTCTTCCTTCACAGACATTTGTTAGTTAGCATTGTTCCCAGCTATGTCCATTGGCTACAAAACACCTCCCCCTACGTTATAGAGAGGGAGAGGTGTTATGTAGTCCTACCACACTTCCTTTTTAGGGTAACCATGCTGCTACTCATAGACACAGTACAGGTGTCACCCTAGAACAGTATGAGTGCTGTGAGGCAGGATCACAGAAGAAAAAAACAAAAAAAAAAACAAAAAAACAGCATTCAGCCACCACATCTAAGTAAAGATAACCTGCATTACATATACATAAAAATGTGTTAAGCTCTATGAAGTCTGATAATCACACTGTCACTGAAAAAAAAACTACTTGAATCAATTGAACCACTAACTTTTTTAGACTTTTTTTTAAGTCTTTGGTTCAGGGAAGAAAGATAAAAGTAAAAGCTGAATTCTGAAGACACATGTAAATACATATATAAGGAAGCCGTTTTTCTGCCAAACAACTTGCACATCTATCCATTCAGTCTTCGAGATTTACACAGCACATGTGCAGCACAATGGCAACTACAAATAAAACAGAGATCAAGATGGCAGCTTCCTTGGCTGTAAAGGATAGAAGAGTTTAGTTCTGCTTAAACGGGTAGATCACACGTGGGCAGGGTCAGCAAAAACACAGAAGCCACAGAGCTGTACACAACACATTCCACAGCCTGGATGTTCTGTTACGAATTCACAATCAAGAAAATTCTAGTGATCAAACAAATTCATGGGTGTTGGGGGGCATGGCCAAGCAATAGAAGAGTAGGATGCAGCACTCAGGAGCAAACAGATCTCAATAAATGGTGATCGCATGTCCCTGCACCCTACAGCTCATGCCTGGGAGAGGGAGAATCCAAGGTCTGTTCAAACTAACCACATGTTCAAATTTAATTCACTTCTTTGCACCATAAGACTTTGCTACATCCTCTATGACTGAGAAGTTTGCCTGGCGTTGACACCCCGGCAACCTCAGTGGCAAGTAAGAGGAAATCCTCCTCTACACAAAAACTGCAAGCAGTGGCGACATGCACCTCCAGCCTGGCATCCTCCTCAATATACACACCAATTGACTTCCCTGTCAGCAGAGTCTTCATGTATGGAGATAGAACTAGGCCTTAGCCTGCACAACATCATGATCCCCCTGCCCAACAAACAGTACGTACAGGCCTTAGTCTTCCAAACAGAAGGCGCCCTGGGCAAAGAGCTGAAGGAAGTTAAGCCGCCTACAATATCAGTGGACTCCACAGAATGCATTTCTTAGGTGCATCACTCAGCTGTACCTCAGCACTGAGGACAAACAGAACAGACAACAATGTAGCAATGTGCAAATAAAGGAGAAACCAGAAGCAACTGGTAGTTCTGACCTTAAAGTCATGGCCACTGGGCTTTTCAGTCACCCTTGTGGTCAGATTTTTCCCTTGTGGTCAGATTTTTCCAGGCCCAGATTCAATTGAGGTGTAACATTATTACCATTGGTTCTCAATGAGACTTACACCAGTCAACTTCACTCACCTTTACCTCTATTTGCGCTCTATAAATTACACTGGGTTTTGAGGTGACTACACTATATTCACTTTAAATTCCATAGACCTATCTCTCATAGAACCTGAGCAGTACAGATCTTCTTCAGGGCACAACCACTATATTGCTCTCAACAAGATCATCAGACCAATTTTGTTCTCCAAGTGTGATGGATGTCTACCTAATGAAAGCAACAAATTATAAATCTGGAGGGACATAAATAAATACACATTCTGTTCTTCAGTACATCTTTAGCTTTTTTGGTCCTTGACTTCTTTTCCTTCCCCCGAAGATTGTAGCATATACCACCCATGGTTGCTTTTTTTTCCCCCATCTTCCTCCCACGCTGCCCTACATTGCTCATACCCATTCTCAACTTGTTTCTTCAACAATCTGAGCATGTTGTCCCTTCTATGTTACAACAGGACTTCCTCCTTCTCCTACTGGACTTCCATAGCTGAAGATGCCCCTCTGGAATATATGAGTGTGCCATGACTGGAAAATTCTCTTCAATCTAATCATAGTAATTGTATGTTATCAGATAAATTTGATTACTTTTCCTAATTTGTCATTTGTGGGGGCATCAAACAGAGTTGTTCTATAGGAGCTATTCCCCTTGTGTTCTAAAATGTGATTTGAATGCTTTAGTAGCTGAGTGTAACCCGGGTCTGCTGTTGTTCTCTATTTATATTTGTGTTAGTCCACCTGCTCAGATGCCATTGATTTTGAGGTGAGGTGACCTACCCCAGTCAAACTTTTGCCAGGAGCACACGGCTGACATGTGTCTCTTCCTCCAGCACAACACTCAGATTAGAAATTCCCTTGTTATGGTTGTTATAACACGTGGTCTCCTGGTCCCTTTTAGGGACATGGGAAAATGTATTAACCGATATCGTGAGAAGTGCATAAGTTTGCTTATCACACATATTCTACTCTCTCAATTGTCAACCTGACAGAGGCTTTGCACATCTCTTCTGCTAAAAGATAACCCTGTCCCCCTGCTTTCCTAGCAATTTTAAAAGAGAGCACAAGTGGAGTGCAGTGTACACCATGGCTCATCCACGATACCTGTTAAATGCTAAGAATGCAACAAGGTCCCAGGGACAATGTAACATGTACACACATACATAGGATTTACATCAAAAATAGCTGCCCAATAGGAGGAACTGAGTGACGTGGTAAGAAGTGGCAGAGACGATGGTGGTGCCAGAGAATAGAATAGTGAAGGACTGCTTTAATCTGTGAGGTGAATACAGTTCCACTTTAACAGTTGAATGATGGGCAGGATTTGGGCAGAAGTCAAAGCCCTATGTGCAGCTTAGGCCCAATATCCATAGGTCTTAACAGGGACATAGGGATTGTTTAGAAGTCTAGCACTAGTCCTTTCAGGAACCACAAGTGATCTGAATTTTAGCAGTATTGTTTTGAAACGTTTTAGTCCAGTTCAGATTCACTTCAGTTATTATCTATAGCCAACAAAAATTTGGTTAGCTCAAATAACATGCAAACGGAGAACACCAATTACATTTAATGCACAGTAACTACAACCTTTTAATGTGTTATTGGTTTAAACATAAATATGCATAGGTTATAAAGTACAAGTCGAATCAAATTCATTATTCTCCATATTAAAAGTATAAATCTAGCATATACAGTGCTCAGCACAAATGAGTACACCCCAAAAGATTTGTCAGAAAACCTTTACTTTCCTTTCAGAATCGACTTTTCTATGGGACACTATACTACAAACTACTACCACAAATGCAGGCCATTGATTGCAAACAAGATTTGGTAATTTGCACACACAAAAAAATATTTTTCCTAACAAATTAATTCAAGACCATTTTTCAAAAATGAATACACCCCAATGAAAGTCTTAGGAGCAAAGCTAAATTTTAGACAACAAAATCCTAATTACCAAGAATTCAACTACAGGTGAGTCTAATTATTCATTAAACAGGTGTCCAGCAGACAGTTGATTATATAAAAGGGTGTTACTTAATAAATAAAACCCCTTCCCTTTTTATGTTGTCAATGGGACCACATGTCACAGGGTCTGAGAAAGAAAATAATTTATTTACACAAAAAAAGGTGAAGGCTATAAGAAGATCAGCAATGCTTTACTCATCAGTCAGAATACTGTAGCAAAAGTGATAGAAAAATTTAACAAAGATGCAACTGCAACCATCTCACAGAGACGTCCAGGCCATCCATGGAAGTTGACATATTGACAGGAGAGTCTTCTGATGAAAAGGGTTAAAGAAAATCACCATGCAAGTTCTCTGCAGTTAGCTAGAGAAGTAGAAAGCCAAACTGGGGTGTTTCCTGTGACACTATATGGCATACACTGCAGAGGAATGGAAAATGGTAAAACGAGCGCTGGGTGAAAAATATTGGTGAGTGGTAAGGAGCTGCTGGCATAAAAGGCAAAACCTCAAAGACCTCCTCATAAAATACTTGAACATAAAATATGCAGCGCAAAAAACAGAATATTAAAGTATGTAATAAAGTGTACATGATATACGTGTGCAAATGAGCAGAAAGACTTGGTGCCGAAACCAATGATGTAAAGCAATATTGGATTAGAAAAAAGTACATATAGTGACAATGGTGCCAAAGTCAATCTATCCGTTGGTGTTGCAAAATGAAAAGAACAATCCGTGACATCTGTGGTATAGAAAGTGAATGTCGATTGCACTAACCAGATAGCACAATTTATTACTCCAATGCGCAATAAATTGCGCTATCTGGTTAGTGCAATCGACATAAACTTTCTATACCACAGATGTCACGGATTGTTTTTATCATTTTATCATTTTGCAACACCAACGGATAGATTGACTTTGGCACCATTGTCACTATATGTAATTTTTTCTAATCCAATATTGCTTTACATCATTGGTTTCGGCACCAAGTCTTTCTGCTCATTTACACACGTATATCATGTACACTTTCTTACATACTTTAATATTCTGTTTTTAGCGCTGCATATTTTGTGTTCAAGTACTGCAGAGGAATGGCATGCATGGGTATTGTCCACAAAGAAAGCCTCTCTTAAAGCCCATGCACAAAAAAGCCCACCTAGACTTTGCCAGGGCCCATGCTGAAAAACAAAAAAACAAGACTACTGGGACCCTGTACTCTGAAGTGATGAGACCAAGATAAATGTTTTTGGAACTGATGGCTTCAAAACTGTATGGCGTTTATGGAGTACAGAGAAAAATGCATGGTGCCTACAGTGAAACGTGGTGGCAGTGTCCTTCTGTGGGGCTGCATGAGTGCTGCTGGTGTCAGGAGCTGCATTTCATTGATGGTATTATGAATTTGCAGATGTACTGCTCTATACTGAAAGAAGATGCTACCATTACTCCGTGCCCTTGGTCGTTGAGCACTTTTCCAACATGAAAATGATCCAAAACACACATCTAAGGCCACTGTTACATTTCTTAAGAAGAAAAGGGTGAAAGTGATTCAGTGGTCAGTATGTCTCCTGATCTGAACCCAGTCGAACACATACGAGGAATTCTGAAGAGACAAGTTGAGCATCACTCTCCATCCAGCATCCAGGCTCTAAAAGAGGTCTTTTAGAAGATTGGAAAAAGATCGATGTTGCAATATGTCGCCAACTCGTTCACTCCATGCCTAGAAGACTTGGTGCTGTCCTTACAAATTATGGAGGTCATACAAAATACTAGGTGGAGTAGTTTTTGTTGTGGGTTGTATTCGTTTTTGCATCAACTAATTTGAGTAAAACTGAAGATTTTGTAATCTAAGTTATATTAATAACCTTACTTTAATGTAATGAGCTAAACAAATGTTCTATAAAACAGCTTTGTCAAAATTTTGGAAATTGTTCTTGTGTTCATTGACATATTGACTAAAAGCATACCTTTCAAAAGGGGTGTACTCATCTATGCTGTACACTCCAATAGAGTAGGAGCAGATTAGAAAATCTGTCAGTCATTTTACGTTAGTGGTCTTTGTGTCCCTATTGGGGAGATTACCCCTCCCTTTCCAACATGCTACCAGGACAGGAAGTTAGGGAAAAGTTCTTTAACAAGGACTTGCAGTTTGGGCACTTTTTTTAAATTATAAAGGGTAAGAGTTAAAACCTTTGTTTAGGATTTTCGTGCAGTCTGTGTGTCTGTTAGTTCACTTTCACACGGGTGGACCGACTGGGTCCGCCTGTCTGTTTTTCAGACAGACCCGATCGGACCCTCCATTGCACTCTATGGAGTGGCGGACATGTGTCCATCTACACCTGCCTGCATCCGATCGATAAAAATAGACGGATGGGGTATCTGTTCCCAATCTGTTTAGCGGATTGGATGAAAGTCAAATGTAAATGGACAGGAGGTCAGTTTACATCCGACCTCCCCATAGAGGAAAGCGGGTTGTGTCCTTGTCCGCTCATGCATCTGCTGGCAGAGTCCACCCTGTGTGAAAGGGGCCTTAAGGCAGATTCCACCCTTAGGGCCTGTTCACACTGGGAATCACACAGGAAAGTGCTGTGTGTTCCTGTGAAATCCACATGCAATTCTGTGCAGTGCAATTTCAGTCTATCCATTTTGAATGGGCTGAAAACACATCATATCGCACTGCACCAAAAGTAGATCATGAACTACTGGTGCAATCTGGTGCAGGCAAACATACTACGTTTTGAATGCAGTGCAGGAAAACGCACTAAGAACGTGGGTTTCCTGCACCATGTTCTAGTGTGAGCTGGCCCTTACTTCTTGCTCTGCTGACAATTGTAACTGGGGCAGAAAGTGAGTGTTTATATAATAAGAGTTCATCAATTAAGTTATACTTTTTTTAAATTCTAACACATATAAAATATTCTACACTAGCAGTATGCAGTTGAAAAATGCATATGTGAAGGGATTAACCTCCTATATATTCGTAATTCTGTCCGCACACTCCTGTGAATCACAAATCTCTCAGACTTTCTATAGAAAAGTATACAGACAACAAATTTTATCCTAGGATCGGGCTTTAACCATACCCCTATCACCCTGATCCACTGCTCAAGACCCCCACTAATACTTGGACAGGGCACCTGGCTACTCAGGTACCCAGTGCTGAATGATGGAAGGCAGAGGCCTTGCACATATGCACCCTGTTCCCTGAACTACAGTTTTTAACTTGAGGCTCCAGTGACAGATAGAGGTGATAAGTTGGAAGCACAGATAACATATGTGCTTGTAATAGAACCTTAGTATTGCATGCTTTTAGAAGAACATGCGTATGAACAGATACATTGATTGATAGATAATTATGTATTAAAAAAAAATTATTTTTTATAATGGATAGATTACACAAAATACAGTTTTTCTTTATATTCACAGGAGTTTTCCTTTAAAATGCAATCATTTAAACAATCATATTGTTCACATTTTCAGTAAAGCCTTTAAAAAAGTCACAACAAATACGGAACAAAATTTGCTCTGGAAACTGCAGTGATAACAAAAGAAAAAAAAACCCAAAACAAAACGCACACAAAAAAAAAAACAGGTCACACCACTAGAGGGCGAGCTTTACAAAGAAGAAAAACGATGGCAATGCATTGTCTCAAGATGAGATAAAAAAAAAAAAACACTTATTGCTGTTTCTGTAATCCAACTCAATATTATTGGATTTGATGACATAATGAAATGAGCATCACTGCAAAAAAGCACACCGCAACCAATCACATCTGAAAAAGCCAACTGCAAGAGCTAAATGTGATCGTTTACAAGAAAACTGTAAATGACTTACTAAAGTGGTTTTCCATATTAGCTGTGAAAAGGAGTAACTCCTTGCTACAGACCTCACCTTCTAAAAATAAAGTTCCCTTTATTTCACTAATCTTGAATACAACTGAGGAAAATAACCAATATGTTATTTGTACGCCAACAGTGGACTTGAGTTTCATGCATGCAAGTTGCAAAGTAAGCTCTTGGTGCGATTTCATGTTTCATTGAGTTGGTAAGTTCTGATGATCTCTTAGGCTCCAGGTACACTAGCCTAAAAATAAGCTCCTATCAGCTACTGATGAGCGTTTTTTTTTTTTTTTTTTTTTTGCCTCATTAAGCAAACAGTGTTATCCTATGTGTCCATGCACACTGTTGTAGTCTAGAAGTGTTTTTGAAGCTTCATCTTCTAGGAGCAAGAAAAAAAAAATATATATATATATATATATGTTTGCATTTTTGGGAGCAATTTGCCAGCAAAAAAAAAAAAGCTAAAAGCTCCTAAACGCTAAGAGCAGGGTTCCAGTGGGGTTTTTTTTTTTTTTTTTTGTCTTAGCGGAGGCTGCCAGTGTCCTTACCAACCAATAAATAGCTGGTTGTCAAGGAGCGGGTCGGCAAGCTGGCCACAACCTTAACAACGGATTACTCATCAGCTGTCAGCAGAGTTTCCTGCTGACAGCTGAATGTAAAACAAAAGAATCTCCAGCAATTAAACTTTGAGAGAAAAAAAAACAGCTCTTCAGGTCTGGTATGGATTAGATTTGAAGGGGAACCCCATGACATTAAAACAAAAGAAAAATGGCTTGGAGTCCTCCCCCCCCCCCAAAATCTGTTCCTGATCCTTAGGTCTGGTATGGATTTGTAAGGGAATCACACACCAAATGAAAAAAAAAACAAAATTTTTTTTTTTCCAGGTGGGCAGTGTTGTTCATGTTAATTGACGCTGGATTTACTGTGGGGTACACTCTTTTTATTTATTTTTTTAAATAATGGACTGTTAAAAAATGTTTCTAGCTATACACCGCCAAATACCAGCAAAACATCTGCACGCAGCTGTATGTGCTGTGAACTGGCCCTGACACAGCAGCCTGCAAAGCATTGCAGCAGGGATCAGTGAATTACTGGTGTAATGCCTGGCTCATACAGCTCCTTACCCATACAGAGGTTAGGGGTTTGGTTTGGTTAGCAACATGTTATATGTTAAACCATAAATATGGGTAGAACATGTAACATGCTGAGAAGGTGGAATTAGCCTGTAAAGAAGAACTCTCGTGTGCATTTAAAAAATTAAATGCAGGTTCACATGTGTATGCCTAAACACCTGTAAAAGCATCTTCAATGAAACAGCACTGAAATGTGAGAAAAATTGGATTTTTGGCTTACCTGTAAAATCCCTTTCTTAGAGTACATCACAGGACACAGGAGAGTTCATTCCTAGAACGTTGGATTATTCTGCACCTCAAGGTGACTGGACGCTAGCAAATAGCAATGTTTAACTTAGCCCCCTGCATAATCTTTGCCACTCCAAGCAAGTTTTGTCAGCAAGTAATATCAGAGTGAAAAAAGAGGGGAGGGACCTGTGTCCTGTGATGTACTTAAGGTACATGACTTTAGAGGTAAAACATCTTGTTTTCCTAAATGTACAGAACAGGATAGAGAAGAGTTCATTCTTAGACCAATGGAACAGAAAAAGCAATCCCATCAGTGGCAAGCAACAGCAACCAACAAGTCCACCAAGAAAACCTATTAACAAGAGGCTGGCATCTGCTGAGGCCTGAACATCCACCTGGTAAAACATGGCTAATGTAAATGTAGAAGACCAGGTGGCAGCCTTACAGACTTGGAAGACAAGGGCCTGATGCTGAAAAGCCCGCCAAGAACAAACACTTCTGGTGGAGTGAGCCTTTACAGGAAACGATCAACCTTCCCATTCAGGTTGTACGCCTAATTAATAATCTGCCAAACTTACCATGCAATTGTGGATTGAGAGGCACTCTGTCCCTACTGGGATCCCTCAAGTAATAAAAACAGTGTCAGACTGACAGATTGAGGACATGGGTGAGAGACAGACTCACACAGCCCTAACCACATCCAAACAGTGGAGAGCAATCTCCTTAAGATGCTTAGGAGCTGGATAAAAGGATAGCAACTTTATGCCCTGATTTAAATGACATGCCGAGACCACCTTAGATAGAAGGGAGGTTTGAAGTCTCAAAACAACCTTGTCCTTGTGAAGTACAAGAAACAGTTCATTACAGGAGAAGGCTGCAAATGCAGACATCCTCCTGATTGAGGTTATGGCACCAAGAAAGGCAACATTGTAGGAAAGAAGAGGGAGAAAAATTTCCTGAATTGGTTTAAATATTGTCTTCTTATGGGTCAACACCACCAGATTGAGGTCCATCAGGGTCAATGGAGATGTACTGATGGTACAGTGTGAGCCACCCGCTGGACAAAAAGCTCTGACCAAAGAATGAGAAGTTAGCTCTATCTGCAAAAGTACTTTCAAGGCAGAAATCAGACCTTTAACAGGGCCAGGGAATTATTCAAGCCGAACTGAAGGAAAGATAAAACCCATCCCACTGAGAATTTCCTGGAATTAAAGCATGCACTATGTGGTAAACCTTGTGGGGCGACAACATTTTAGCCTTCAACAAGATGAAGATCACACAC